ATTAAGTAAGGAGTTAAGTCGACTAAAGTTTCGTCGGAACGAATTTACGGAAAATCAATTTACAAACGGAGACGTAACAATATATTTTCACCGTTTCTAGATATTAGGTATTAAGGTAAGTACACCCTTGAACCTGAAGACAAAAATTAAATTCGTACATCGCCCTCATATAAATGTACAGTCAATAAAATAGAACATTTATATTGATATATCTTATATTTTGAATATCTTTTACCCTTTTTAGCGGGTATCTCCGATCTGTTTGTTTGTTTGTAGTTATGCACAAAGCTACACAATGGGCTATCTGTGCTCTGCCTACCACGGGTATCGAAACCCGGATTCTAGCGTTGTAAGTCTGCAGACATACCGTTGTGCCACTGGGGGGGGGAGCTCTCCGATCTGTCAACCACGGAGAATTCAGCCCCGAATTTTAACGTTTTAAATCCGCTGACTCACTGAAGAACCTTTTGAATAAACAAGTATTATTTAACTTTATAAAATATCCGATAAGAAAGAAAATGTAGGATTTCTGTAATGACTAATCATTCTAAAAATGATAATTTTACAGATGGACGTCAGCCTGATATTAACTAGGGAAAAAAAAGAAACAAAAACAATTACTACAGTAACGATATATTTATATATGACGTTATAAACACGTATGATCCAAGTATTTTTTTCTCAATTTAATTATAATTAAATAAAAAATTAAAATTAAATTGTTAGCATAGAAATTATAAAAATAAATTGTTTATTCAGATGTATTTAAAACTAATTTCCATTTCGTGGGTGGTACAGGAAAATTGACACGTAAACTAACACCTTAAATATATTATGATGAACTGAGTCAATTACTTGATGAAATAGACTATTAATTTTAGTGTTTTTTCGTTTGAAATGACAATATGTTTCTTTCTAATCTAACAATAATTATAATTTTATTTTTTGCCAAATTAACTTATATTCATGTTTATTTACGCTTATTGACAGAACGATAAAAAAACATTGTTAGTCTCAACACCAGTAACTTACAGATGCATTGTTAGATCACGTGAGTACTGAGTAGTTACGACAGGTCTGCCGTGCTGCAGTGTTGGGACCAACTGTGTTTGGTATGTCTTAACATATTAATATACTGATAAGCAGTATATATATGTACTGTTAATTTATGGAAGTGAATAAATATATACAGTGTTGTGATGTGTCAACAATTTGAATTGGAATTAGGTCTAACAGTAAAGTAATACTTGAAATACACTACTGTGAGTACTTGGTACAACTGAGGTCCTAGCCTGCCTATTGACGTTAATTACTAAATTAGTTTATTATCCTGACAGTAGTTACGAGTATGATTCAGGCTATTTTTCGTAGTCGCCGTTCGATAACGTGGAAGAGTATTTACGCTTTTTTATTGTGACAATTTGCGTTAAAACTTAAACTTGTTGAAGGTTACACTTCCGGTTTTATGCTAGCTTTAGTAATACTACTAGTACTTTGTAATACTAATAGTAGTAGTACTCAGCCCTACTAGTAGCACTATAGCAAGTTTTATTCATGACTTAAAATTGTATATATATTAAGCTGCTTTATTAAGATTTTAAACTAAAGTTAATTAGCCATTGTAAACTGCAACAAAAAGTTGGCAGTGGGTGTTGTTGATTAACTCAGTAGCTGCTTTCATTTTCAGGCATCACAGTATCAGTACAAAATTAGGGATGGCTACTACAGGTAGTCTAGTAGCTTTGCAGAAACCTAAAAACGTTTGTAATGATTAATGAAAGTCTAGTACATATGCAGCATTGATTGTTTTATGGTTCAATTGACTGCCATTGAAACTTAAACTTGGAATAAGGGCAGATATGACCAAACTTTGGGAAGAGTGATTAAATTTAATGCTGCAGACTATACAGTTCTAACTTGCATCTTATTTGTATATTTATTACACAACAGTGCAATTTGTCACACGCATTGAGTTCCTATGTAAATTATAATAACTTTATAATGTAGCAGTTAACATTAAACTAAGGTACAAATGTATGTATGTAGTGCCCAGATTGTTTTAAGATTGTTGATTAGTTTTATGTTATTGAACTTCTCTTTTGCTTTAGATTTAATTATTATGCTACTATTATATATTATTAAGTGTAACCTGCACATATTTTTCATTGTAATTTTAGTAGTAATTAATTGTACTTTTTATGCTAACTGGACATCTGAAAACTGAACTTGGACATACATGCGAAGGAAAATACATTAAAGGAAATAGTGTACGTGTATAAATTGAATAAAGATAACTAATACCATGTGTACATAATTAGAATATCTACTAAAACAAACCCAGAACTTAAAATATTATAAATTCTTCTTTTGTTGACTTTAAATTGGATCTTATAGTTACAGGCTGAAATATTTTGAAAAACATGAAGTTAAATCATGAATTACTTCAGATCAGCAGTTTCCAACCTTTTTCTCTTCATGAACCCCTTGAGTAATATTAGTTTTTACAGTGAACCCCTTTTAAGCAGTAATAAATTTTGTAAAAAACTTTTGAATGTGTTGAATTTATTGAAAATAAAAAATTCTCTAACAAACAGTATATAACATGTTTACAATAAAATCTATATCTCTGATATTGTTATCAGTTTGCAGTTAGTACCCAGTAAAATTGAAATATAATTCTTGAAAGATAATAAAAAAATTGAAAACAAAACCATTTAACTAAAACTCGTGAGACTTTTGAGCTTGTTTTGAAGTGCACAGTGCTTTAAAGTTTGGCTCAACAGAAGAGAGAGATAGTCTTGAATCTGACTCTACATCAAGCTATTTCCTTTCATAAATATTTGAATAAATTAGAAGGAAATTAAGTACTGGTAAGAATTGTAGAACCAGGAAAGTGACAAAAATGACATTACCAAATTTTTCTCATGAATCCCTCAGAATTTTCTCTGGAACCTCTAAGTGTTCATGAACCTGCTGGTTGGGAAATGCTGCTTCAGATAATCATTAACTTTAGCAACTATAAATTTTTGTGGAGACAGTTGTGTAACTTATATTTTACAACAAAAATTTTAAGTCTCCACTTAAACCAGTCCTATGAAATTGGTAGACAGCAATGCTGACTAAAAGAATGTGTGGTGTCAGAAAAATATGCATATAATAATAATATATATTTGTAATAGCCAAATGTCTGTCTGTCCTGCTTTGTATCTCCTGAACATTGATTATAGAAGAAAAATTTTTTATATCCAAATGCATCTTTTCAAGAGCACATTACAGGAAAATTATTAATTTTTTGTAATTCTTAAAATTTCATATCAATATCTACATCAATCCATCAGTCTTTGTATGTGCTGAATAGTCAGTCTAAGAAAACTTAAGAAAAAAATGTTTCTTTTTGTGAGGGTATTTCAGGGAAAAAAATGGGATTTCCTCCATTGATTAGCCCTTTCTATATGGGTCACAAAGGCCATGTTATCTCATTTGTTGCCTCGTACTCAAAATTGTATTGAACTACTATTACATGAATTTATGTCAATACGTTTGGTGTCAAACTGTAGATTATAATTCAAATTTTAGACCTATACATTACTCAATTTGTTAATTTAAAAGTAAATATTAAAAAACACAGATAAACATCAATTTTTGTGTGTCACGTGGTATATTGAATGCAGCACTGTTTCATATTAGATGTTTGTGAAGTTATAGTTTTATATGAATTAGAAACTCAAATTACAGATATTGACAAGCTAGAATATAAAATAAGAAGGTCTTAT